TTAATTGGTTTAATTGCATCTCTCCAAAAAGTAATAATTTTTAAAATTTCATCTGCTGTTGGTCTTTTTTCAGGATCAGCATCTGTGCATTTGTAAGCTAACTCAATATAACATTTTGGAGTATTATCTGAAAAACTAGGCCTTAAACCACCACAGATCTTGAAAGCAAGATCTATATCATGTGGTTGATCTCCAAATGGCTGTTGATGTGTTGATGTTTCTGACATTAAAATCCCAAAGCTATAGATGTCAGATTTTTGTGTATAAGGCTTTTTATTTAATACCTCTGGTGCAATATATGGTAGTACTCCAAATATATCATTTTTGCTTGATGTTTCTTGATCAGCTGGGCCTGATAACCCTAAATCTGTAATCATTGTCTTAGATAAATATTGAAAATATAAAATATTGCCACTGTGAAGATCACCATGTGTAAGTTTTTCTTGATGAACTGTGTTTAAACCTGAGATAATATCATAAAGTTTTTCAATTTTATCATTCCATCTTTTCCATCTTGCATTTAAATATTTTTTAAAATCTCCTTGAGCTGTATATCTCATTACAAGAACATATTCTTTTGTATTTGGATCTTGTGAAATCCCATAAATATTAACAATACCCTTGTGATAAGGTCCTATAAATTTAATATGATTTTGAAGCTTTATGAAAATCAATAAAAAATTAATATATTATTTAAAAACCATTAATTAATTGTCAATCAATTATATCAAATTATTTACCTCCTTTAAAAACTCATCAGAATTATTTTGAGAATTTTTAACCTTTTTTAATGCTACAATACCATCTTTACAATAATATCTTATATTATTATCAATATATCTAGGACCATTTGACCAGTGACACTTATACACAGTTGCAAAACCGCCTTCACCTATTTCTTCTTCAACTGTGAGTTGGCCATAAGGAATCCATTCAAGGTAATGATAACTATCAAATCCTTTTGCTTCAAGCTGTGTATTTCTGATTATTTCATCTAATTTGTCATTACCACTGCTAGTCCAACTTTGAGCTAACAATTTGGGATCACATGATTGACACCACTGGTAATTAGTATTATATCTTGCACAAACAGAACAGGTTCCATATTCTTCTTTTCTTTCCTTAAACCCCTTAGTATTATCTTATTATTTCATTATAAAAAATTAAAAATAGAATAGAATTATTTTTCAATATAATAAAAATAGACATTCATTTAAAAGTTATAAAAAAATTAATTTATAAATTATTTCACCTTCAATTGTTATTATAAATGCAAACAAAGAAATTTATTTAATTAAACAATGTGTTATAAAAGTTATTTTATAATATAATATAATCTTTACCAGCTGGTTATTATGAAGAAATAAAAATTATTTAATTAGATGATATTATAAAAATTTATTTTGTGTTGTAAAAGTTACTTACATGCTGGTTATTGTAAAGAAAAATAAATTTATTAATTAATTGATATTTTGATAAAATTATTTTGTGTTGTAAAGTTAATTTCATAATATGATACTTACTCCCTAGTTATTATTAAAAAGATTTATTAATTAGATGATGTTTTAATAAAATTTATTTTTGTGTTAATTTATAATATACTACTTACCAACTGGTTATTATAAATGAACTTATTAATTAGATATAAAAATTATAAAAGTTGATTTATAATACAATTATAATACTTACCAGCTAGTTATTATAAAGAAATAAAAAATAAATTTATTTAGTTGTTATAAAAATTAATTTATAATATAATACTTACCAACTGGTTATTATAAAGAAATAAAAAAACAAATTATTTAATTAGATGATGTTTATTTTGTATTGTAAAAGTTAAATTATAATATAGTACTTACACCCTGGTTATTATAAAGAAATAAAAAAACAAATTATTTAATTAGATGTTGTTTATTTTGTGTTGTAAAAGTTAAATTATAATATAATATTTACTCTCTAATAATAAAAAAAACAAATTAATTAATTAGATGATGATGTTTATTTTGTATTGTAAAAGTTAAATTATAATATAATACTTACTCCCTAAGAATAAAAAAACCAAATTATTTAATTAGATGATGTTTATTTGTGCTGTAAAAGTTATAGTACTTACGCTCTGGATATTATAAAGAAATAAAAAAACAAATTATTTAATTAGATGTTGTTTATTTTTTTGTGTTGTAAAAGTTAAATTATAATATAATACTTACCAGCTGGTTATTATAAAGAAATAAAAAAACAAACTATTTAATTAGATGATGTTTATTTTGTGTTGTAGAAGTTAAATTATAATACTTACAATCTATGAAATAAAAAAAAACAAATTATTTAATTAGATGATGTTTATTTTGTGTTGTAAAAGTTAAATTATAATATAATACTTACTCTCT